TAGGCGATTCGATGGTTTTATGATTGGTCATTCATACACTCGGAGCTAGTTTGATCCTTGCGTATATTTTTGCAAGTTGAAAGGAGGTGCGTACATCTATTTGTTACTTAATGTCGATGACATATTGGTTACCTCTATTTCCAGATCTGCTATAGATGAGCTGAAGGCACAGCTTTCAAAGGAGTTTGAGATGAAGGATTTGAGTGAGGCAAAGCACATTTTAGGAATGGAGATCGGCAGAGACAAGAAGAAGTGTATAATTTGTTTGACACAGGTGGCTTATTGAAGAAGGTTCTACATGGATTTCATTTTAGTATGGATACGAAACCAGTTAGTGTACTTTTGGAAGCCCATTTGAAGCTTTCGGCTGATCTTTCACCGAAGACAGTTGAAGATCGAGAGTTGATGTCGAAGACTCCATATGCGAGTGTGGTTGGAAGCTTGATGTACGTGATGGTATGTACGAGACCAGACTTGTCACAGACGGTGAGCATGGTTTCGAGATACATGCATGATCCATGAGTGGGTCATTGGGACGCCATGAGATGGATTTTGAGGTATATTCGAGATACGCTCAATATTAGTTTGGTTTATGAGCGGGACACTACAGTTGGGTAGTTATGCATTGGTTATGTTTATTCAGATTATGCCGGGGATTTAGATAAACGTCGGTTTACGATGGGGTATGTGTTTACTTTGACCCGTACGCCGGTGTGTTAGAGATGCACCTTACAGTCTATGGTGGCTTTGTCTACGATGGAGTCAGAGTATATGGCGATAACAGGGGATGTGAAGGAGGCTATTTGGCTTCGAGGACTTTTGGAGAAACTTGGTATATCGCAACGGTCCGTCACTATTTATTGTGATAGTATGAGTACTATCTATTTGGCTAAGAATCAGGTTTTTCATGCGAGGACGAAGAACATTGACATTTGTTATCACTTCGTTCGAGATGTTCTTGAAGATGGCGATGTGGAGATTGTGAAGGTCCACACGAAGGATAATTCGGCGGATATGCTCACTAAGATGGTTCTGAGCAATAAGTTTGATCATTGTAGAAGCTTGTTGCACATTCATGATTGTTGAGGCCGTTGACGACTATTTGGATGAACTACGGGCGGCTTGATCCCTTAGGAGAGGGGTACATAGGCAACCACATTGGTGCAGCCAAATTTAGTGAGACTACACATTGGTGCTCATGTTGATATCGGTTCAGTTTTGGGAATACTTCGCCGAGGTGGAGAATTGTTGGATAGCAGGATTCCTAATCTATTTTGGTATTAGGATTTCTAATCTATTTTGGTAACATGATTCTTAATTTGTTTTGGTAATAGGTTATTAAGATTCCTAATTTGTTTTGTTTTTTGATTTAGGATTCCTAGTCTGTTTTAGTTTTAGGTTTTTAATATATATGGAACGCCTTAGAAGATATTAGAATCATCAAAAAGAGGAGAGTGGTAATCAGAGATTAGAGAGACTTTTGAGCATTGTGAGAGGGAGATATTGTGAGCAAGTTGAGAGCTTTAGTTGAGAGTTAGTTTGTGAGTTTTGTGAGATTGTAACCCATTGTACTCTCCTTGATTTAGTGGAATCTCCCCCATCCTCTTCCCGTGGACGTAGGCAAATTATCGAACCACATAAAATTGGTTGTCTCGCTGGTTGTGTGATTTGTAATAGCTTATTTAGGTTCCCTCGACAGGTCAGTCCTAGAATTGATGAGAGGAAGAGCTGATATCTCACTTTATTGAGATATTTTATTTTTGGTTCTTGTTTCCTTGGTGAAACAGGAATTTCTATTACGATCTGACTCTCTTGTTGTTGCGCCGAGGTGCTGCCGAAATTTCTGCTGCGCGCAACAATTATAAAATATAGTCACATTCAATTTAGGGAAGAGAGTAAATGGCATATCTTGTACAATTAAAATTTTATCATATCTATCTATGCTTCATCAACTTTAATAACTCATTTGACTTAATCAAGTTACAAATATCATTAATAAACTATAGTACTCGTTTCCTAGAAGAAAATAATAAGCATTTAATTTAAAAAAATTTGATCATGTTTATCTTTATGCTTGAGAATTCCAAATCAATATGAAAAGCATATTTGTAAATTGTTGAAAATTCCCTTTGAAAAAAGTAAAATTCAAATTGAATTCCTTTTATTGTGGAATATGAAATATCTTTGTTAAACAATGTCTAAAAAATACATAATATAAATGCATTAAAACATAATGGTGATATCAGAAGATATTGCACAAAGCACATACCATAAATATTAAGAATGAAAATGAACATATACTATTTACTAATATACCAGTTCTTAAACAATTTCTAATCCTTATATGTATATGTCATGCTTTCTACATAATACTCATCAGAATATATGAAAAATAATGTTCAAATTGTTATGAAAGATACAAACGATAAAATATGAACTAGTAATGAATTAAGATAAACAATATTCAAACATATACATAATAGATTATCTCTAATAAAAATTATACATGAATAAATTAAAGTCAAATACATAGGAGGAGGATGTAGTATTATAAATTCATTTTGTGAAAACATATGTGTGTAACATATAAAGAATAGTAAAGAGGATATACCTTCTACTAGATGAAAAAGCATAGAAAAATATTGTCGTGCTGATTTGTTATAAAATACTTCATAGAACTAGCAAACTAGACCTTGAGATAAGAAATTAGAGAGGTAAATGGCTAGAGGGAACTTTCTCTATTCACTTATCATTTTGCTTCATGCATTACAACTATATACATACATGCATGTATGTGTGTGTTCGTGTGTGTGAGAGAGTGTGAGTTATAAGACTTCAAAAATAACTCCAAAGGTTAAATGATGAGTAAATTGATGAGTTTATGGAGATCCATAAATAGGTTCATAACACTATATAATATATATTAAATTTTTTTAAATTAAATCTTTCTAAATCAAATAATGACACGTGTCAATATGAGAATAACTTAGGTTTTGTTTAGAGAGTAAAGAAGGCCTGCCACATGGCAAAGTTTTGTATGAATTGAGAAAGCTTATGTGTCATCCTATTGTGAGTTTTTAGTCATTTAGTTTTGCTTTAAAGTGTACGCTAATAAAGATAGATTAAAAGATATTAGCAAAATAACAACAACAAGAAGAAGCATTTATCCCAAATATTTAGGGTAGGCTACATGAATTCTATTCTTCTATTTCTTTCTCTTATGAACCATCTCCTCCGTTGAGTTAATCATAATTATATTATTGTTAATTACTTCCAACAAAATTCTTTTAGGGGGTTATTGGTTGGGACAAGTTGGGGCTAAGTGGGATAATTGTTCTAATGAAATAATTTTTATCCCATTGGGATATTTTGAATGGTGTAAAGTGTGACAATTTAGGATAATTGGACAATTTGAAGCCTTGATTTGATAATTCATGTGGGATAATTGATGATGTGGCACATTATTAAAGTCTAATATTTATCTATCAATTAAGTCTAAATTAATTTACCTAATTGGTTTAGTATATTATTTGGTATGTTATTATAATGTAATACATTATTTTACTTTATACTAAACTATAATATATTATTTTATAATTACTAATTAAATATAACTATATTTAATGTTATTAATTAATTTAATATATATTATAATAATATGATATATTTTATAATATTTGATAAAATATACAAACAATATATTTAATAAAATATTTCAATAATATAATATTTAATAAAATTTTATAAAATTTTTTTTAATTCAATATAATATTATTTAACATATTAAATTATTATTAAAAATATAATATTTTATTTTATTTTATGATAATTACTATAATTTAAATAGAATAATTGATGACATGGCTCATTATTAAAATATAATATTTTTAATAATCATAATATACTATTAATATGTTCAATATACTAACTAAAACAATATTATTAAATAATATAATATATTATATTAATTTTATATATATTATCATACTTTAATATATAGTAAATTTATTATAATTTTATGTTTAGTAATAAAATATTATTTCATATTATAACTACCATAATATTAACAATATATTTAAGACTATTAGTTAATATAATAAAGTATAATAGAAAATGGTAAATTATTAAAAATAAATCATATTGTAATATAATTAATATATTATTATATTAAATATATAAACACTATATTATAATACAATATTTTATATCAAAAAATACTACAATAATATTTTATCTAACTAATAAAAATATATACTAAATAATATAAAATAATGTATATAATAATATAAAATATTATTAACCAATATGTAATAATAATATATAATAATGTTATATTAAATAATATTATATAATATTTTATTATCTTACGTTGTAATAGAATTTTATAATATAATATAATTAAGATATATTATATATTATAATATAATTAATATATATTAGATATTTAATAAATTAGTGCTTCAAAATTATCTCACTTTCCTCATGATTGTTCTAAAGTTAAAAATGGAGTAATTTTTAGAGGTTAGGACAAAAAGTTTGTATAGAAGTGGGCTAATTTTGGGAAAAATGAGGGTAATTGTCTCAATCTCATTGTCCCAATAAATAACACCTTAAAGTAAAATCTCAATCACATTGTTCCAATAAATAACACCATAAATTAAAGTCCCAAAAATTATCCCACTTAGCCCAAAATTACACCAACCAATAACCCACTCAGGTCCATTTCCAAAGCTCTTTACTCCATTAACTATAATGATATTATTTTTTTCTAACCAGAGTAGTAAAGATCTCCATTATACATGGACAATCCACTTTAATTGATTTTCTCTCATTTTATTCTTAATAGGAGCAACATCTAATTTATTACGAATGTACCATATTTCTTATCTTATCATTTAAATGATAATGTATACCCACAAAACCATCTCGATAACATCATTTCTAATATTTGGCATGATCATGATTATTATGAGGAACATCCAAATACAAACACGATTGAATCTCAATAGCAAACCCCTGCTACATGTGTGCAACTTGCCACGCAATTGTAAGGTAGAATGGCTTATATAAACAGTAAATGGACAAGCATATGGATACATTATTTACAAGTTCCTTCATATTAATAGATTAAAAGTATATCAGCATGATCATGAATAATATTAGTAACTTCATGGTTTAAATCACAACTCAACCCCTGCTACGTGAGCTGCAGCATGCCACACAAATCAAAAGGAGAATGGCTTCTGATAAACATCAAACGGCTCATTAGAAGTCAGCTGAGGCTCCTACAAAATAAAACAGCGAATAAACTGGTTACTTATCCCTTTGCATGGAAAACGATTTTGAGTAACTTGAAAATAAATACAAAGTGGACTATATATTAAAAACTGTCGTCACTTTTTATCTTTTCTCATGTTTTGACAATTGAAAAGTGATTAGAAAGTAATTGGAAAGCAGAGTGAATGATATCAGCATCTAGCCATTCACTTTCTTCCAAATTTGAAAAAGTGGATGAAAAGTGAATTGAGGACGAGAGGACGAGAGGACGAGAGAACGAGCTTCATATTACATTGTCCACTTTGCGCAACAACCAAATAGGACCCAAAAAAAGTGGATGCCCTGTCACGTTATCGTTCCACATTTTCATTTTCTATCATTCAAACAAAAATTCCAGTATAGAATTTAATGAAAAAGCACTCTATCTGAACTTTTTTAACTTTCCAAACTCCCTCTAAATGTATTTGTAAATTACCTGTTTCAGTCCCCCAAAGCTTCCTCCTGATACCAATATGGTGACCACCGACGAAACTGGGCCAGTTGCTCCAGTTGTATTCCTGATTGTTGATCGCATGGAGCTAAGTATGCTTCCATATGTAGCACCGTGGCCTTCTTCAAAGGCTTTGATGAAACAATATGTCATAGCCCCTGTCGATGTAATTCTTGAGAGAGCCTGCACATTTTGTTTCCAAGTTAAATAGAGGAAATTGATTCTAAATTTATATTCCTAGTTTTATGAATACAAATATGAAAGGCCAAAGGCCGGAAGAGAGTTGAGCTTTCTGGTCAAAGATCTTCCTTAAGTTCTCTGTTTTATTTGTGAGCAAATCAAGATGCTGTTTTCTTAGGGTTATTTTCAGATGCAAACCTTTAACTAACTTCCAAACAAAAAATTCCTTTATGCATCAACACTTGCAGAAGTCATGAAATCACTTTTTATTTTAGTTAGATAAAAGAATGTGAATGCAGAAAAAGTATGAGAAAATGCAGATGTTTTTCTTGGGGCCTATGATTTAGCATGAAAATCATTTAACAATCTTAACTATATTATCTTCCTGTGAGTTATTACTCCTATACATCAAAGGGAAGGAAAAAAAGAAAGAAAGAAAGAAACAACTTTATTGATTTATGTTATTTCTTTTGTTATCGAGAAACTACTGTATTCTGTCATGGTATATTGGTTTATGGAAAAAGTTTCACCAAGGAGATAATTACGACAATTTGGCTCTTGTGAACTCTTTGTGTATGTTCTTTTATTTCCTACTTTTGAAACAGGTTGGGTGATTTCCACCTTTTTCTTTCTAGAAAGTGAAGAAATAGCCAGATTTACATTTTTCTATCAGGGCATTGTAACCTCTGGAAACCTTGGTTTATTCTCATAAAGGTCTTCAAGAGTTTCCCAGCAATTAAGGTATCTACCAATATGGAAATTAATTATTCTATAGGGGCTCAGATAACTTGTAGCAATTAACCAAATCTTTCAAATAATAATAAGATATGCTAAAGATGTCACATTTTCAGATATCAACCTATTTAACACATGTTTTAAGCAACCACAGTACTATGAAATTGTACAGATTCATCTACTTTGAGGGTTATTTGCAGATGCAGCCTCTAGCCAGTTAAGTTTTAGCTACTTATCACCCTTTTATTCATACACCTCCTCCTGCCTCCCATTACGATATATTTTTTCCTTTAGTTTTTAAAATCATGTGAGATTCATGTTCGAATGTTCTTATCAAATGTCTAACTGACCATCACAATGATGGATAAATTTTATTAAGGGTTTTTACATTAAAACTATATTTACTTTTACCCAAATTGATACTTACCACCTTTAAAGTTTTTTTTAATGTAAACCACTTTATTTGCTAACATGTTTGCAATGTCACACCTTTTTTTACTATTCACCCACGAAAAATCAGATATTCCCATTTTACCACATCTTCTTCCTTCCAACCCCTAACCCTAACCCTAGTCTCCTCCATCCTCCTCTACAAACCCTAACCCTAACCCATGACCGCCACCTCCCCCAAATCCTAATCCTAATCCTAGTTCACACTTGAGAATGAATGGGAGAATGGGAGGTCGGTGAGGAAGAGAGAGAGAGAGAGAGAGAGAGAGAGAGAGAGGGGGGGGGGGGTTGAGAGAGAGAGAGAGAGAGAGAGAGAGAGAGAGAGAGAGAGGGGGGGGGAGGGGAGTTGGGGGAGGAGGGAGAGGGAAGATGGGGAGAAAAGGATGAGGAGGTTAGAGTTAGGGTTTAGGTTAGGGTTTATGAGGAAGGAGATTAAAAAAGAAGAAAATGGTGAGGGTAAAATGGTCATTTCACGTATTTTTGGCTGAAAACTAGATTAGGTGTGACATTGCAAACATGTTAGCAAGTAAAGATGGTTCACATAAAAAAAAAATTTAAAGGTGATAAGTATCAATTTGGATAAAAGTAAATATGGTTTTGATGTAAAAACCCTTTTATTAAAGAAAGGATAAGAAAAGAAAGAAGTTTTATTAATTTTTCTTATTTATTTTGTCATCAAGAAATCACTATGTTTTGCTGTGTTATTGGTTTTGGAAAAAAGTTCACCAAAGGAGATGCTTACATTAATTTGACTCTTGCAAACTCTCTCAGTATTTTCTTTTAGTTCTTAGTAGTGAAACAGGGTGGGTAAGTTCCATTTCTTTTTTCTTAAGAAAACAAAGAGAGCCGGAGTCATATTACTCTATCGAAGCATTGAAACATTTCCACACCTTGTCCACACCTCGCCAGTAAAACAAAGAAATAATAGTTTTCCTTTTGTGTCTATTCATTCTAGTTGCGTCCAACAGAACAAATTACATCATGTTTTATCAGTTTTAACTATAATGAAAATCTCAAACGCTAGGATCACCAGAGACTGTGTATCAAGAAATATTAGTAATCTCTTTCCTAAAAACCTCAGGGTTTAATAAACAGTGTAATACAAACAGAAAATTCATGCTGCTCTTATTGTGGTGATACTTTATTTTTATTTTTCTAACTCTACTGCTCAAAACAAACATAAAGGCTTTAGAGAAATATCTTTCAAATTGTAAATTATAATAAAGTAGTCCCTGCTTCTCATAAGGGCTCATATGCTGTAGGATGTTTTAGTCAACCAAATTCAAATTCTAGAAAAGTCATCAAACTAAGTAGCCTTCAATTTACATTGGTCCTTTCTCATAAAGGTCTTCAAGGAGCTTCATCACAATTAAGGTATCTATCAATATGGAAACCAATTATTCGATAGTCCCCAAAATGACCATCTTTATAGGTTTTCAAATGACTTTCAGCAATTAACCAAATCTTTCAAATGATAATAAAAGCTGATAATGATTTTAACTTTTCAGATATTAACCTACTCAACATGTCATAAGTAGTGGTTAAAGAAGCTTACCGAGGTATCAGCAGACGTTTGATTATCATCACAACCACTAAATGAAATGGCTTCACCGCCACTTGTACCTTTCCAAGCACCAGCCCTGGGCCGATGATCTTCCCAAATATATTGCCCGTTCCTATATAAACAAATGATTTAATTATCCAATGCCTAAAGGTAAAACAGCAACAATAAGAAAACTAACCTACTACATTTTCACGATTCATTTTGAGACAATTATGTTGTAATAATATATGATGAAACGGTCAGCAGGTGATTTTAAGCGAAGGATGATAAAGAATATGTGTTTATTGGGTTTTATTGATCACCATGGAGCAGAATATAATCTCAAAATCCCGATAATATAATCTGCTTAAATAGCTGTAAAATAGAACTTGTGGTTCACCAAGCGGAATATCAGCAGGTATCAACCAGTAATATATAGGATAATTTCCCCAATAGACAGTTGGCAAGTGCGTGACACATCTAACATGCTAGGCATAGCAGTTGAGTACACATATTTCAAAAAATATGCACATGCACGCGCGCGCACACACATACATACATAAAGGCACATATTGATTATGAGTCGCCATCATTTAGCAGAATAAGCTATCAAAACATAGAGGTGGTCAAGGTCCACTCGCTTCAATGTAACTAGTAAGATGTGTCTCACCACTTGTCTATCTCTTAGTAGCTCATTTATCAAAATCAGGTTTCACCTCATACCGATTTTCACGCATGAACGCTATTCAAACAGACACATGCACACATATAAAAAGGAAAATCTCAATATTTTACATGCAGAGATTATCTGACATATAAATCAAGATGGATGGTGTCGATCATTGAATGAATAGCCTATTAGGCCAGGTAGGGATGAAAAATGGATATGGATATCTGCATATATATCACATAGTTAAAGTTATTCTGAAAAATACAGTAATGAATTTAAAATCAAATTCGATGCTTCAGAGATCTAATCTTTATATTTTCATATATATGAATATATCAATGGACTCCCATTTGAGAAATTTATTATATTTAAAATCTCTTGTATCATAAACCTATATAATTTCCGTCTTATCTACTTTCCTCTTATATGCTTTGTATCCACATATATTTTCTCTCGTCTGATCTGTACCTGTGTTTGATTTCAGTTGATACAGATATGAGTTTTCTATATTTGTATTTTTCATGAGTAGTAAGCTAATAAATATATGGCAAGTATCATATGTGATCTGTTTGCACCCCAAGGACCAGCGCATGATAATTTTCACCTCACCATCTCATTTGATCACACACACACACTGATACGAGTCGCCGTGCGAGCATCCTTTGGTCGCGGAATTACCAAAAGGTGGGTTGAGAAGAGGATGACCAAAACACAAGAACAATTCAGTATAAGGCGAAGGAAAATACCTTCTCTAGATTATGAGTATGAAAAAGATTACAATCCCTCTCTCACAATCTCACTAGAATTGAGAACAACCTCCCAACTCTCCCTCTAAACCTCTAAGGTCTGATTGTTTAGAACCCTAAAACAATCCTATTTATAGATGTGCAAACGTGGATGGCAATCTTGTAAATAAACAAGCCCAAAAGAATCAGGAATCCCTGTCAAAACAGAATCCAAAACGAAGCAGGAAACCCAGAAATCGCGATCCGGTCGACCGCCAGACTTGGTCCGGTCGACCGGCCAGAGAGTTTTCTCAAACCCTGCATCGTGCAGGTTTTAAGGTCGACCGGCATGTGTGTTGCGGTCGACCGGCCAGAGATCTGCCAGTTTACCCTGTTCTTTTGTGTTTCGCTCCTGTTGACTTCTTTCGTCTTCTTCTTTGGCTCCATCCATGCTCCTATTCCCAAGATATGAGAATCTCCTATCCTCAAGTTCCCATGAGGATCGCTAAGCTCCTGAAGAGAAGATACACCCGTATCATGGGTCCCTCTTTAGGAACTTGAAGTCCCGTTCAAGTTAGAACTGAAACTGAGGGAACTCGCGAGCCCCTCCTCCTTTTCTGAACCACCTGACCTTACTAGGAATCTGATCTCGACGTCCGATAGGAAATAACTCATTCATCCCGCGTCTCGTCGTAGTCACTTCTCGCTCCAAATTGCAATCCTTAATCGATGGCTTTTCTGGAAGTCTAATGCACAGCGAGACAAACTTCTTGCTTGCATTCACTAACCTCTTCGCTCGCGTCACCGTTCCCAAGCTTGTCTCCCTCGGAAGAGATGCCGAACGAAATATGAACTTTTCACCACCCTTGGTGAATGTATACTTCTGAGCCCGCCTCTCGTAGATCGCATATCTATCCCATAAGTACGGATTGCCCAGTATAATCTGACAAACATCCAATGGAACTACGTCGCATGTGACCTCGTCAATATACGACTCATGGAGTGCAAATCTTATAGTGCATTGATCAACTACACATAGCTTCTCCTCCTTCTGAATCCACCCTAGTGGATAGGGCTTTGGATGCTTGACCGTTTTCAGACCCAGCTTCTGAACCAAGGCTTCGGATATCAAATTCTTCTCGCTACCCGGATCAACTATGGCATCAACCAAACTGGTCTTCACTTGCAACTTAAGAACAAAGAGCTGCTCTCTCGGGTCGTCGTCCTCTTTCGTGGCCTGTTTCCCCGTCATAAGATTGAGACTGCTATTAGGCTCTGTCATCCCCGGGACTTCTTTCGGACCTTGAGCTATCATGTATGTCTTTTTTTCCTCCTTCTTCAACCCTCTTGGCTTGAGATGAGGATACTTCTCCCAGCACCGATCAACTTCGTGTCCTGTCTTCTCGCAGTGACTACAAATCAGCCCTGCTTTCCCTGGATCACCCTTCTTCTTCTCCTCCTTAAACTGAGAACCACTAGACTCGCCTCCAACTTGCTTTGCATCCCCCTTTGCTTCGTTGCTCTTCTTTTGCTTGCCCTCAATGGCAATGGCCTTCACGCTCGCATCTGCAATAGTCTCGATCGTGAATAACCTCATCTCCTTTCGGATGTAATCGCTCAATCCCGACATATACTTCATAAACACGGAATATTCCTCTGTCGCAATGTTAAGAACCATTGCCTGCTGTTGGAACTCCGTAGTATATTCTTAAACGGTTTGATTGACCCTTTGGCGCAAGCCATACCACTTGTACCAACGCTCCTCAAGGAATCCCACCGGATAGAACTGTTTCCTAAGTAGCTCCTTAAACTTGTTCCACGACGTCACTTTCTTCTCCTGTTTGCAATAGGATTTCCACCACGTCAACGCATGTCCTGAAAGCTTCAAAGTCGCGAACACAATCTTCTCTTTTGACGAATAGCCATAGAGAGTAAAATACGTCTCCATCCGCTCGATTTAAACGCTCCCTTGGTGATTGCATTCTAATTGAGTAATGCATCCCTCAGGGCTGTGTTCCAATTGAACAATGCGCTCCTGAGAACTGCATTTTGGAGAATCAATGCTTTCCTGAGGTCCTCATTTTGATTGAACAATGTGCCACTGAGGGCTGCGTTCAACTTGGCTTTCATGGAGCTCATGCTTGGGCTCGTGCATGTGAGGCACGCGTTTTGAAGAAATACTGATACAAGTCGTCGTGCGAGCACTCTTTGGTCGCGGAATTACCAAAAGGTGGGTTGAGAAGAGGATGACCAAAACACAAGAACAATTCAGTATAAGGCGAAGGAAAATACCTTCTCTAGATTATGAAGAACAAAAGATTACAATCTCTCCCTCACAATCTCACTAGAATCGAGAACAACCTCTGAACTCTCTCTCTAAATCCTAATACAATTATTAGAATTTCTCTTGATCACTTCTCCCTTAGGTCTGATTGTTTAGAACCCTAAAACAATCATATTTATAGATGTGCAAACGTGGATGGCAATCTTGTAAATAAACAAGCCCAAAAGAATCAGGAATCCCTGTCAAAACAGAATCCAAAACGAAACAGGAAACCCAGAAATCGCGATCCGGTCGACCGCCAGACTTGGTCCGGTCGACCGGCCAGAGAGTTTTCTCAAACCCTGCATCGTGCAGGTTTTACGGTCGACCGGCATGTGTGCTGCGGTCGACCGGCCAGAGATCTGCCAGTTTACCCTGTTCTTTTGTGTTTCGCTCCTGTTGACTTCTTTCGCCGTCTTCTTTGGCTCCATCCATGCTCCTATTCCCAAGATATGAGAATCTCCTATCCTCAAGTTCCCATGAGGATCGCTAAGCTCCTGAAGAGAAGATACACCCGTATCACACACACACACATATAACTCCAGACTTAGGAGAATTGCAGTGTCCCATACATTCCGTTCCTTGGTGAAGTATGACATGTTTGTGTCTACAAGTCAAAAGTAACCATCAACTAAGAGGTTAGTCAGTCTACTATAATTTGGTAGCATGCCAGTAATGCTAAAACCAAGCTTGATAATCAGTTAACTTTCAACTCCCTAATGTACCTAACAAATGCATATATTTCAGGAGTAACATAAAAATTTCAAAACACGAGTTAATCCTCCAAAAGAGTGTAACAAAGGACTAGTTATCCTTAGATATTGCCTCATACGCTAAAAAGAGGCAATAGACCACAAAATCCATTTTATATTATAGCATAAAGACGGCTGCTATATTCAAAAGTGCCAATTTTGTCTTTGAGCAGAGTAAAATATGGAAAACTTCCATTTTAAACGACATTAGGATATTTTCTCTATATAAAACAGTTCATGAATTAGATCAACTGCTGAAAGTGAAACACTTGAGATGGGGATTTTTGTTCTTGCCGAAAACGATGGTGTCTTATTTTTGCAACTAATCAACCAGTTACAACTATAGTCAACGTAATAAAATGAAAAGAAAATTCTTTGATTTCTAAAAAGAGCAAAGATCATAATCTAACTGTAAAATTACTGACCTATTCATTCTGCAGAGAAATGGTAGATCAAGGACAGTGCCACTATGGCATGCATCTATTAAGGCATGAAGTTTAACTCCAAAAGGCAGTGGTCTAACAATGGTCGCATTTATTTCATCATCTACAATCATCCCTTGTGTTTCAAAGTCCAGCGGACAAATGGTTTCATCATAGCCATCCATTTCATCGCCGTTATAGTTCCTTTGTTGTGAACCATGGCCGGAGTAGTAAAATACTAATGAATCTCCTGTTTGACAACCTTGGACAAGCCAATACAATGCCATCCTTATGTTTTGCTTAGTTGGATTCCTAAAACGATCAGTCTCTTCTTCTGCAGATCAACTTTCAGAATAGAAAATTAAGATTAATTTCAAGAAGATTTCAAAGAAAGTGTGCTGAAATTAGACATGGATTTGCTAGTTCATGCTAAATGCTTGAAGGGTCGGGGATTTATAAAATAATTGTTATGGAAATATAAATACACATAATCATAATTTCAGCATACTATAAATATCGTAATAAAAAAAACCCAAATCATATGAAATGTTGCACATAACCTCAATACTGATTTTAGTAATAAAGAAAAGTTCAACATAATTTTTCTAAAGATAAATGTTTTCGCACACAAACTTAGAAATTTTATTTGTTAACCCAGTTTGTATAAGCCACAACAATTAGACAATGCATAAAAGTACTCCTGCACCATCAATACGATAAGTTCTCACTAATTTAAAAGCTACGAGTGGTACGTTGTTATAAAGACATTACTTTATGCCCACAGGCTTTAGATTTTCCTTTTTAATATATAGAACAGGCCATAGCTCACCAAAACGGATTTTGAATTTGAAATATTGGTAGGCCACTTGCAAATTTTATATGTGCTAAGTTTAAAACTTACAATATATGCCACATTGATAATCTTGGTGATGAACTGAATAAATAAGGTTAGTTTCATATGAGCCACAGTAAACTTAATCATACCCAACATTCAACAAGCTTAATAACGCAAGTCTTGACCAATGTTGAGACCGCCTAAGTATGAGTCCAAAATAAGTAAATAGATCTGATTGTTTCCAGTGCAGAACACTTATGTTTCAACCATAATTGTCTATCATCTAATACAAATTATATTTTATCTCAACTGAAAAGTGAAAATGAGTTCACCTCACAAACGATAAGAGTGTTAGTTATATTAAAAATTAATCATAACCATCAAGATATTATTGTCTAAGATCCCTGCCACTCCACCATGACTCCAAAGTTGTGACGAGGGTTTAAAGGTTATAACTCTATACACAATTTCCTAAATTATTATATTGGCATATTTTGTTGACCCTAAGTACCAACTTGCTATATTTTCTTGCTCCGGTGATAATAGAGTACATAAAGTATGACACCACAGGGTCAATATCATGTGTAAATGTTCATATTAGATTTCTTTAATCTAGAAAAACTAAAAAAAATTATTTGGTAGGTTCCCCAAATTGATTTTGACATAATAATTAGACAGAATTAATAATGAACTGGGAAAATTTTTGGGTTAATTTGACAAAACCTCTGAACTTTGGTGTGTTTCGCACATATCCCTGCAAAACTTTTTCTTTTATTATCTCATATAACACCCATAAACTTTGGTAGGTCAAATCGCACAATCCCTAAACTATGTGAACTCAAAGAAGCAAAGATATCAAAATGAATAATAAGAGCTGATCACCGACCGGTGAGCATAAGGATACAATCCTCGGGGAAACCGAAGCGGTTGACGAGGAAGTAACGCATGCACTTGGCATCATTGATGCTCCCCTTCAGCTCGTGCCTGGACTTCCGGTACGATACCGCGCAGATAACCGCCCTCTTCTTACCGTGCGCCAGCGGGGGTGCGCCCCGCGGAGGGGCAGGGAAGTAATGTTCTCAGGAGGCCCGGAGGGTCCGGCGACACGTGTGGTGACGGGAGGGGGCGGTCAGATGCGCAACCGGGAACGGAGCCGGCGTTTGGGGGCAGCTGGAGAGGCGTTTTGCATGGGAGCAGCTTAGTTAGCCTCAGCATAGCCGGCGCAGGTTAGAGGAGGAGGAAGTATTCTCTCCGCGTCTGTTCAGACTATTTGTTGGCTTTTAACTCGCGCACCCAGTTGGACTTGCGAATATTTTGTAGCCAGCTGCGTGTGGGGCCTGTGGTGCAGTGCGGGGTGAAAGGGGAGGATGCTTTAGGCTGTTGAAGATTTGACTTTTGTGGAAAAGGAAGCCGGGAGTGAAGAATACTGGATTTGGGAAATGATTTTTGGGAAAATTACTTCTAGTTCCCAAAATCCAACTTTCAATGTGCTCCTGCCCTCCATATTTTTTTTAAATGTGTTACAACCCCTTGTTTTTTAAATAATTGTGCCCAGGCTCATCCATCATGATTCCAGCTTATACCAGCAGATGATTAGACATATCAGTTCATGATTAGACATATCTGTTGGCTTAAATCCCATTTTTACCCTCCTCTTTTCTCATGTTAGTGGATGTTAACTCTTAGGGTTAACATGTTAACTCTTACTGTTAACATGTTAACTCTTACATATAACATGTTAACTGTAAGAGTTAACATGTTAACCCTAAGAGTTAACATGTTAATCGTAAAAGTTAACATCCACTGGCATGAAAAAGACTTCTTTTTCTCAAGATCACTTACGAATCTGGTGATCATTTGTCGGGTTCATCCGTTTGCTTTGTTTAAGCCTCCAAAGACTTCAAAGAAGTCGAGGCAGGAGGTTTTATTTCATGTCCTAACAAAATAACAAATGTCCTTCCAGGTGAAGTGGTTGAAGAAGAAGAGCCTCGTCCCTTCCTTTGCACGAGATCTCGATCCGTTGCCGAGGCTTCTTCATAGGTCGATTAACATGCCAAGATTGGGTAGGAGAGACCTGCTATTCACAAGGAGGCTCGATCCCCGAAGCGAAAGAAAAAAGTGCACAAGTCACATATCGATCCGCGCGCTTTTGAGGCGGAGTCATTCGGCAACGTACCTACCGGCGGAGAAGGTAACGTCTTGCCTTTGTGTATCTATTGATCATTTTACTTGTGAATTCTTCAGACCTAATCACATTCTGTTTTCTCAGGGGGTCGCGAAGGAGGTGCATTTTCGTATGACTCTCTCTTTCCCGACTTTGCTCATTTCAAAGGCCCAGGCTTTGTGCAGCAGGTGCATGAGGCTATTGCTGAAGAACCTGTGCATGCTAGGGCTGGCGAGGTGCTGATGTTGGCGAGCTTGATCCAGATACGAGGATCTCCAACCAAGGTATATCTAATACCGATAATACACCATTCAAATGGCAACTACGAGAGTTGAATGATTCCGAATCCGTGGATCCCCTAATTGTTTCTATGCTTCATGCTCTTTTAGAGAAGATAAAGGGAATGGGCCCAGGTGTCGAGATTGGGGAAGTTGCTGTAGCCACAGAGGGTGAGTTCGATCTCTACTCATTCTGAACTTTAGCTTTTCTTCCTTCTACCTAACTTCTATCTTCCGTAGTTATGATTATGGAGGGTTTAGCTGAGGATGAAACCCTTCATGATGCTGACATCGACGAGTTGGGTGGGCACACATTCGATTTGACTCGAGCTCCTCCAAGGCTGACGATATGTTGCTCGATGATATGTTATCGGAGCAAGCCCATCACGAAGCTATAGGACCACGCATAGAGGTTGGTTCATCTGTAGGTAGGAATTTTTATTGTAACTTTGCCGTAATTTTTTTGCCAGTTCTTACTTAACCACAATAGAGTTCCGATTGTAGGACCAGCCAGAGGGGTTGATACAGCTACAATCATCGGTGCTTCTGATCAGCCTAAAGATAT